TTAAAGCTGTTTCTTCATACTGTCAGGCTTAGAATGAGCCAAGTTTGAACAATAACTAATAAAAAAAGTTGTCCAAAAAATGGGACCCCACTCTGTCTTCTTCTTCTTCCTGGCAACCTCCCAGCTTTAGCCAGGGTCTGACCAACTGTCTCTGTATAGGAGTAGCATGAAAAAACTTCGCTAGGTTTGTAAAATTCATTTAAAACCATATCTAATAGATAATCTGATATAATATAAGCATTACAAAACTTTTATCAGACCAGGAATGCCTTGGAAAAAAAAATCAATTACATAATTTTATAAACCGCATAGAGAAGATAATTATATATTCTTAATATAAATTAAGTTTATAGGTTTTTGACGTTACTTTTTCATACTAATTCTGTAGCTTACAGACATATCTTTAAAATTAAAAAATCCTATAATGAGATCTAAGATTTTCGCGAGTACTCATTTAAATGAAACTAATATTTGTCGGATTTTACTTCGCGTTTTATTTTAGAAAACTACATACTCCCGACGTTTCGGCTACTTTTCAGCAACCGTGATCACGGGCAGACGAGATGTGAGTGTCTGTCAGTTGGTCTGGTCATTTTATCTCCTACCGCCATCGATTTCTTAATTGTCTTGCGTACCGCTCTGGATGCCGGAAAAATGCGCTCACGGTGTTTCGAGGTCCTGCGGTGTGGTCACGGACATGGGATTTTATATTTTTAAGAAGAGGATCCCAGGTGATTGATAGGTTCCAGCCATCTTCTCTATTGAAATTGGGGTGTTTTTTAATTTCAATGGCCTCGCGTATTAACCTTGGTATATATCTGTCTTCACGAGCGAGGATATGTGGTTGATCAAATTTAATGTAATGGCCTGGTTTGTCCAATGCATGTTCGCACACTGCGCGCGTCGAAGTCAGAAGTATGTAGTTTTCTAAAATAAAACGCGAAGTAAAATCCGAAAAATATTAGTTTCATTTAATAAATCCTATCGAAAGATGTGTTTTTTAATGCACAAGAAGTAGGTTAAAATATTTTATAAGCAGGTATTTATCAGTGACACATTATAATAAAAGAAAAGTTTTCAGTTTTTAAAAAACATGAAATATCTGATAACGTTTTAAATCCAGGCAGTTTTCTTTGCGGCGTCGTTCAGAAACTGATAAGTTTGAGATCAAGACTTGTACGAGTTATTTTCACTATTCGCAACTAGATGGCTCTGACCATGTGGTATCACGAAGAGGGACTTTGATCAAATATATTTTTTTCAGTATTATTTTAATACTACATCTAATTAATTATTATCTACTAAGTACTTTTGATATATGTAATCTATTTTAATCATAGCTTGCACTTCTTGCTAGTTTTCACTCATATAAAGTCAATTAAGAATGAAAATCATAAATTAAATATACTTAAATGGAAACAAGATATTTCATAAAACAACTAGCTTTAACTAATGACTTTTTCATGACTAATGTCTCATAGAAAAATTTATAAATTGTTTTAACAATAGGTTCGGTAGTCTACCGGCAGCGACATCTATACTTCATGTCTATTAACTTCATATACAATACAAGTATTATATCGTGATACCGCGTTTTATAATATTATCTTACATTCTGACCTGTCTGTTTTCTTTTCGTCTTGTTTTCATTAACAAATATCGGGTCCTTAGTTTTCAAATCAACTTCCATACACACGTTTCAAGTCAGTTAATTGTGTTGAAAAACGATATTGAAATGCAAACCATTAAGAGACTTACAGCTTAGAGTAGTTATGATGAAGAGATAAGCGGATTCGAATATAATAAATTTGACCCATTTAATTAGCAGGTCGTTTAATGAAGAATGGTAGCACTTCGTTTATTTACCAAACACTTTACTATTTTCAGAACTCTAAATAAATCACAAACAATTGTATTATGAAGGATAAACTAGGTGGATTTTATTTAAGTTTGTCCCAATTTTTTTATGCTGAACATTATTTTATAACAGTTATTTATTGTTATTAAAACTTCAAATACTTTATGTGAATTAATATGCAGCTTAATTATATGAAGTACTTTTTGTTCATGATATTTAATCGCGTACTTTCGAGTATCGTATTATCGAGTAAGAGTAGAGGACGCGTCGGGGAAGCTGGTGGGAGTGCGAAAGCGATCCCCCGCCCCGACACAAGGGTCGTCGTGGAACACCCTTGGGTTTTTAGTGGGTAGTGGCAACGAGTCCCACATACCCCGCTGTTTTCTAAAAACGGAGGGGATGCGTAAATGCATTTTTCCCAAGGATAAAAAAAAAAAAAAAAAAAAAAAAAAAAAGAGTAGAGGACGCGTAGGTAAATACACTGAAGGCAGTAAAAGGTGCGGCACATTTTTACTGTCAAAAAACACAAAACTTAACATAGAATTTTTCTGATACTGATTCCATGTTAAATTTTTCATACATTTAAAGTTACTTTTATAGTGTATCAGACAAAAATATAAGAATTCTTTTGTCATATACACACTGTAGAAGAGGGAAACTGTGTGAAAAAAATCCTTTCTCCAGAGTGATGATGGAAGGTCATTATATTATAGTAAAAGGATTATATTATTCAGAATTGTTTGTTACTGGAAGCCGTTGCCTTTGACAAAGTTACGGGGGAAATATAAAGTATTGTTATTGTTTATTATTTCATTTAATATGTAGTATAGACTCTAAACTGATAAATAAATTGGTTGTAGAAATTTTAACTAATAGCCTTATTTGTTACTAAATGTTTATTGTATTTTAAAGTATGGTTTACTCTGCTTATTTAACCTGGCAATTTCCCAGCAATAGCCAGGGTCTGCCTTACATGTTGCGAATAGTTTTGGCTATTTGTTTTCACGACCGGCCGCCTACCTGACATCATCCCTCTTTTGGAAATCAGCATTAATCAGTGATGTCTAAATACTCTTAGAAAGTACATATGACTCTGAAAAATCACATTGGTACTTGCCCAGGCCAGGATCAAACCGACGCCCTCGTGCATGAGAGGCTGGCCTTTTAACCACTAGGCAATTACTGAATATGGTTTAGTATATTTATATTATTACTTATATATTTATTATATATTTAATTTAAAACATTAATTTACTTATATTAAAGATGTAATTAGATATATTCCCACATATATAAAGGCTTTGAGAGGACTATTGGAATGTTATAGTCGAATTACTTAAGGTATTCAGTGATTATCGAACCATAACCGATTAATCAGTTTACTTTGTGATTAGGAAATCACTTAGAGCTGGAATGTGCATCTCAATCTAATATTGATTAAAAATATAGCATTAAGTTTCAATAATAGATAGTACCTCTAAAAGGAACTCTAGTGCTCAAACGACTGCTTCACATAAGCAATTCCAGAAAAATAAGTCCGAGCTGAACGTATAACTCCTATTCTCCAATCTATCCATCAATTTCCAGATATCAACGCCCTACATACAGGATGTTTTAAACTTCATCAAAATAATCATGGTTTCCACTTTTACTATGTTATTTTAATTGGAAAGTACTATTTGAAAGGCTTTCAAATCGTTACATCATCGGGAATTATAATGTCTTTCGCGAGTATTCATTTAAATGACACTAATATTTTCGAGTTAACTACACGGTTTCTTATTATTTCAACTACATACTTTTGATGTTTCGGTTACTTTGCGGCAATGGCCCGTGATCAAGGAAGTATGTCATTAAAATTAAAAAAAAAGAGTAGTAAATCCGATAATATTAGTTTCATTTATATGCATTAATTCTGGTATTGTACGATTTTTTAGTAATTCTTTAAAAGTACTACATTTACATATATGACAAAAAATAATTAGGTATTATAACATAAACAAGTAAATATAAATAAATAGATTAAGGGTTTTTGTTTTAAAATTAATACAATCATTCTAAAAACAACTTATAACTTTATTATATTAATTATTATTTCTTTTCAAAACGTATAAATTATTTTATTCTATTATTAACAATATGTACAATCTAAATAATTTATTATTAAAATTATTGCACAATATTTTAATTAAAATAAGCAAATCTTACTTAAAAAATAAAAACAATTTTTAACATAATCTACGTATTTGTCACAATTAGTGTAAATACATCCTAAAAGGAATTTTCATCGAATCTTGTGAAAATAGTTGAGAATACGGTGTATATTAAAATAATTAAGATAATAAATAAAAGACTCGTTCAATACCTGTACAGATTTTGATAACGCTTAAAAACAAATGAACGAGTATTTGTAGAGTCCATTTTACTAATCTGCCTAAAATTTATTTAATTTGAAATCATATCAATTTATTTATTTTATCAAAAACAAAACAAGCATTGAATAATACCATCATTAAGAGGAAAATCAATAAACCACAAAAATAATATTCAATATGTTGTGATTTATACATTACGGCTTATTGTCGTTCGTAAAACAACAAGCAAGTTCCAATCCAATGTAATTATGTTTCATGTTACAATATATTTGACGAATGCAACAATAACACAAATTTATTGGCACATAATAAGAATTAACTATAAACAAATAACTGAATATTACCTCGATACTCATTGTACCAATTAAATTGAATACAAAGTAAATGAAAATAAATCAAATAAAACGTAAAGGAGTGTTATTATAAAACACTACTGATTTATTCAATTATTCAAACATTTATGTATAAGGTAGTATGAACTTTAATTTAGTTTTGGGTTCTATATAAAATCAAATATGATTGTACTTAATATGTAAGTTTTTAGAAAACTTTAAAAATTATTACACATTTGTCAATAATTAGTTTTTGCATGAGTTTGAATAATAAAATTATCTATAATGTCTCAAATGTAATAATGAGGTTTCAAAGTTCAACTCGTAACTGCTTTTTAGAATTATTCTTTGATTCATATATCAAAAAATACAAATAACAAAAAAATTGATGATCATTTATATTAATTCAATAAATCTACATGTTTTATATCTTCGTTATCTTGGAGGCTCGATGTCCGCGTGAACTAAAAATGTCTTTTTACACCTAGTGGGCGACTCTACACCATAAAAGCATACGCTCCTTTGCGGATGCACTTTCTTATAATCTACTGATGACCCTATGTTTCTTGGCAGTGTTTTGGCTCTAAAATCACTTTTGAGACAATAATCGTATAAAAGTTTTGGTCCTTCGTCAAAATGTTGACTGTAATAACCACCACAGGATTCAAATGAGACACTCTTTGATAGGTCGTAACATGTGTTGGGTTGATAGGAACCTTCGGGGCAAGTTCGTGGTTCCTCAGGGGCCCCGTAGGGCCAGGGGGCCTCGCAGGGCAAATTGCCCCACGGAGGCCCCGGGGGTCATTCTCAGCGAATCGGTTTGGAGACGATGATTACGTCAGGGGCGGATCGGGTCGTCTCTGTGCTCATCGGTCGCCGGTCAGGATATTTTTTTTCTGTCAACACAAAGATATGTAATTACTATTTAGTCATGCTAAAATTTTAGGGAAAATAGGACTGTTTTTTCATGTATAATTCTTAAATCTCATTACTTACATTATTAAACCGAAACTCACTATTACTCAAGTTATTTTAAAACGAATTTTCATCGAATAACAGTAACCTTTTATTTTTTATTTTATTAACTAGCCGCTTTCAATATATAATACATATAAGTCATTGAGTTACATACGTGATTTCTCTTCTTTTTCTGTTGCATGTCGCAGTAGTTCAATAGTGATTTGCGAGGTGTTGGTTTGTGGTGGTGAAGGCCTGGCTATCGTGGCACCTGAATAGCCAAATGTTGAAAACCCACGGCTGTTCGTTGTACCGGAACCTTATAAAATTTTATATTAATTATAAACATAATATAAATCGCTTTGAATAATTTGAATAGAATTTGTTAACGATTCGTTTCATTTATTATAATGCTTCAGAAAAATAAACCATTCATCAAAGACTTTGATCTCGTTATAAAAAAATATTATCAGTATTCTAAGAATCAGATATAAATCCTATTATAGAGGCGTAACAGACATTTCCTCGAAAAAAAATTAAACACATCATCAATCATTAGCGTTCGAACGTTTGTTCTGAAAGAAACGTTGCGAACATATTTTTTTATTAGTTAAAATGCAAGATATTTTATGAATATGTGAACATTTAAAAATATTCTTTTTTCACACACTTAAGTCCTGCTGCTATCTTGTGAAGAGATCATATAAATAATTATCATATATTTCTGGGAGTAAAATTATTGTTTTAATAATATATTTGTAGCGGAAGAAGTTTTCGTAGCAAGTAATGTTGTTTCAATTTATTGGTATTTTAAATTTCTGTTTTGGCAAATACATTGCATACAAGGTTAAGCTTCAAAATGTAGTCTATCCATTACCAAAACCATTATAGTTTGTATTAAAACAATTGATATTAAATAAAATTAGCGTTGATATTAAATAGGAAATGTTTTGAGCCATATACTAGTATAAATATAATTGTCACAGTGTTTAAGAAATAAAAACCTAGTTCAAAAATAAAAAAGAACAAATAAATACCATCAGAACTAATTGCTGGATCTGTTTGAAAAAGGCTCTCTCTTGTTTGACACCCAGATTCTTTCGTGTCCGGAGCGCCGACCGAAACATCTCGTATTTGTTTCTTCTCAACGCTTTCTTTTTTACTTTTGATAGATTCTTCTTTCTTGCTTTCACTGCGTCTGCTTCTTCCATTCCGTTCGATCCTAACGTTTTCCTGCTCAATAGGAATGCTGTCTACTTCTCGTCTCCAGGGTTCTTCCTCATCAAGGTCCAATTGCGTTTCTTGAATGTAGTCAGAATCTATGCTGGTAGGCTGTGAAGTAACAATCAATTTGTAATATATAAATCTTTCATTCATAATTTTTCCATAGGTTTTGTAATCATACCCGGATTTTTTGTTGCGAAAACTTCCTTTGCTGTTTGAACATCTCGTTTGTTTGGTTATCCCTTTCCAGACTGGCACGTGGCTCGCTGTCGCGCTGAAGCCTCTTGGCATCCAGGGTTAGACGACTGCTAACCATATCCAAACGGTCCTCGCAAGATTGGCGTATATGTTCCTGATTGAGATTAATATGTACATAATAATAAATATTTATCGCATTTCGGTTTTCGGAAGCATCGACGTTGAAACAAAGTGAAGCTATAATCAATTTATTATAAATGTTAAACTTTTTGTCCTAATTTAAGTAATAAAATTAGAAAAAGTTTAACTTTAAGTGATTTTTAATGTATACCATTTTCATAAATCATAATTTTTGTTGAATAAAATCACTTAAATGTTAAAGTATTTGAAATATAGTTAAAAATATCATTGAAACCGTTACATTTAAGAGAAATAAAATACCTTTTTAATTTCTTTGATGCGACATCCTTTTATCTAAAAGTCATTTGAATCTCAATACTCAAGTCTCAAAAGGATTTTACAAAAGCAATAAAAACTCTGTACTTGGTACAAGTTCCAATCAAACGATTTAATTTTGGATTCAGTTCAAATATTCATTAGAAAGATTTGGTAAAATGAAAAGCACACAATGTTGTTAGTAATATAACTCTTTTATGTAGTTTTTATCATTGAATATCCTGGTATAATATCGTATATAATCTTTGTTTGTTTTTGGTCTAATCAATATAAAATTTTATTAACTTATGAAATCATGGTAGACAAATGTAAGTAAATAAAACTAATATTTTCGGATTTACTACGCGTGTTTATTTTTGAGTATAAACTACATACTCCCGGCGTATCGGTTACTTTACAGAAACGGTAATCACGGGTAGACGTGTGTAGTTTGTAGTCAAAAATAAAAACGCGTAGTAAATCCGAAAATATTAGTGTCATGTAAATGTGTAATCGCGAAAATCTTAGATCTCATTATCTGAAAAAGGTGAAAGTAGCTGAAATTCTTTTTGATATTATGTATTTAATGAAAACTCACTTTAATTATCTTATGGTCTTCATACAACTTCTTGATGCATTTAAAGAAAAATACAAAAGTCATTCCCGACAGAATGAGACAGAAAATGATGAGAATCACTTTGATATGAGTTTGATCAATCATAGAATCGGCTGGACTCTGAAATATACATGTAAAATAAATAAAAAAATACCTACTTATAAGACGTAAATATGTTTAAGATTATTTGAAATATATCTTCATAATGACAAATTATTTTTATGCTATAGCTTAAAAAAAGGTTGTCATTGCCCACAAATAATATTTAATTGATGATTATACATACTTATCAATTGATGTACATTTGTCATTAACATATGTAACATTTAGTGTACATAAAAGATTTGAATTATGAATTTACTTTGAGTTTGAATACTTATTAAGAATAGTGTGTGTTTACGACTTACTGAGCATCTATCTTTTTCTTCGTCAGCTTTTAATCTGCATTGGGCAGTATTGTCACATTTTAAACTTTTATCGATACATGTATTATCTTCACAGTCGAATTCAGTCTCATCGTCACATTTATCTGAAAAATTTAATACTGTTTTAATCTATCTTTATATTGATTTATATATTTAATAAAGTAATGTTAAATAATATTTTCTTTAGAGATATTTTATCATCACTAACCTCCTTCCTTGGTAGTATCCAAAGTTCTGTATGCTATGAAGCTGGCATTAAAAAAAGATCCTTTTCCTACTTTTGATGTGTACAATCTTACAAACATGATATTTCCTTTGTCATCGCCATCTTTTATGCCATCAATACCTTTCGTGGTTACAGGGTTTGCAACAGAACCGCAGTACAATACAAGTCTAAAATTAAATATTCTTAAGGTTAAAGAGTTGATGAAATTCAATATATGAATAAGTAATTTAAATAAACAATGAAGGTGGTTAAACAAATAATATTTTGTACAAACCTGGCGTCTGATTCTAATACATGTCCAAAGATTTCTACAAAATTGTGCTCACACTCATTTGGTTTTGCCAACGTGTACTGTGTGAAATTGAGATAAATCTGCAACAAAGAATAAAAGAGTGAAAGGTATTGTTTAAAGCAACGTGTGACCAAAGTTCTAATACGTTTAATCTCAATAAAAGCAAAGTAATCAAATTAAGTTGAATTAATCTGTGTTACTGTAACAAAAATGTAAAGGCTATTGTTGTTGATGTCTTGCTGCATAATGTTTCTTCATTCTATCTCGTAGGTAAGCAGCGTAAGGCTTCCTCATATTAAGCGATTATCTTAGTCTAAATAACAAATCATACTTTAAATTTATATTAGAACAAACCTTATGTCCAAGAGGTGCTGTGAAATTCCACAGAAAATCTAGATCCTGGTCAACAGTTCTAGCTTTGCAGTCCTTGTCAATTTGATCCGATACTATAATTGCATGCCTACTACCTTTCGGTAATTCCTTGTAACAAGAATCTGGTATACTATCTGGAATGAGTTTTCAACCTTTAAACAAAGCGTCTGATTGTCTTAGGTATAAAATAGAATACTGTGTTCAAAAATAGTGAATGGCATAAAAATCAAATAATGTAAAATACAAGTTAACTGTAATTACAATAACGGTATTATTATGATAATTATTCTAGGACACATATTACTGAAATTCAGTATTAAGTATTATTATCAATACAAGATATAAGTAAGATCAATTAATATAGTTTTTATATATTAAAATTTTGCAATAATGTTTCTCATGTAGTAGTCATAATGGTATTTTTGTACTAACAACTAGTTGGAGTACGTATGAATTTAATATCAATGCGGAACCCCTCATATTCAATGGTATCATCAGAGTGAAACTTCAGCCAAGCATGAGGTCCAGTTGTGGTATATGTACGAGGGAAGGCTTCCCCACAAACTTTACCAAGAAGTTTTGCATAACCTCTTTTACCATCGCGTATCTGAAATAAATTTGACATTTATAGTAAACACATGTATCCCAATGTTCATGTACTTAGATACATATAAAATAGACAATTTCATTGTGTATGACTTTCTATATGGAAGATTTTAAAAATGTATACATTGTTATTTGAAATTATATATGTATATTACTGATATATTTTTTAAGGTTATGTATCAAATAATGATATCTAAGACTTTCCGTGACTTTAAAATATGAAACTAGGGTCGGTTACGCGCTTGAAATAACATTTAAACTACACTATCCCGAATGACTTTCATTTCGGATATTCGTGGTCACGTCGAGGTTATGTTGGTGTGAATCAATAAAAAATACCTCGTACGATACATTACGAAGCTTAGTTTGACATTAAAATCAAAGTAATATTTTTTCAGATATACTACGCGTGCTTTATTTTTGTAAAAAACTACATACTCCCGACGTTTCGATTACTTAAACTGAAAATATTAGTCTCACTTTTGTTAGACATTATGTTGTCAAAAATAATTTTCGATCTACCTACCTCTAAATAGTCATAGCTACATTCTGGGTGATACTCTATGTGGAACATGTCCACAAACGTCAACTGAACCACTTCACCTTCAGCTCCTAGAATGTTTAATAAAAGTTTATTATACCAAGGAAATAATAGTTTATGTTAATATTACTTTTTAAAGACCAATACGTTACCACTTATAACCGTCACACAATCCATGTGGCTATAATAATATTTTTTCTTATTTTCCCCATCATGTGGATGTGTTATATACTTTTTGTTTTTATCAAAATTAAAACTTTCGCATTTCATATCTTGATCATCGTCTCTTTTGACACGTTTTCTTGGTAAAAAATCTATTGTAAAATCCTTTATTGTATTCTTCTTTCTTAATTTATCTACGTAATTACCATGTGCGTTTGTATTGAAAATCTCGTCGTGTTCTGTATAAACATCATCAAATTTGACAACCTCATCGATAGAATTTGATCTTGTGCCGTAGCCACCTGTCTCATATTTCAAATTTTCTATACTATTTACAATATTATTATGTACATTGGTCCTAGTTTCAATAAGATCTATATTATTAACAGCTTTCTTAACTAATCCATGCATTGGTTCCATTATGCTTCGTCTTTTAGATATTTTGTTATCAACTGTCTGATCCAACGCTAGCCCGCACGTTGAACAAACTGAAACAATGAAATATAAATTATCAAATGCTATTATTAAATGACAACTTTAATGTCTGTTGGAATCTTTTAAATTTCTGTCATTTCTTAGTCCTTTATTAAAATAGTTTATAGAAGTTGAAAGTTGGATGAAGATTTAACTTTATTAATGTCATTTTCAAATTTACAGTACCATACTTATTTTACTAACACAAATTATTCGCGGCGACGCAGCTCTGATGCGCTTGGCGAATAAATTACTGCAAGCCAGGGTTGTTTCTCTGGGGACATTTACGTGTCAACAAAATTTTCTTCCATTTAAAACATTATTATATATTTTTTATAGTGATAATTTTCGTATGCATATTTTTATGATCAACACACAGAGTCCTACAAAGACCATTTTCACAATTTTTTGACTATTTAAAACTTTTGTATTTACTAAAAAAATATGAGGTAATTTATTCTTGTCTTCATTAATTTCTCTCATTCTGTTTGTTTCCCATAGATGTCAGTCCCATAAATAGAAAACATATTTTGAATTGGCTATCATGAATATTTTTCTTAAATTTACTTTTTATATAAGATAATTAAAGCCTCTAATATATGTATATGCACGGAAATTTTTAAATTAACAATATATTTTGAAGAGCAATTTTTCTGAATTCCACATAAAAAAAGGAATGTATCATATAATATGACTTTTAGTATACTTTGTATTTGGTTCATACAAGTAAAATAATATTGGTTGACTGAAATTGAAATATTAAAGTTTTCCTTTCTCTCTTCAGGCTAGCTAATTCATATGAAAAAGTATATCATAACCTATTAAGCCTTAAACAATTTTTTCTTATTCCAATCAACAATTTCTTCTTATATATTCACAGCTGTCTACAATAAACTTCTTAGTATTTATAAAACTCGAATTTTATTATGCTTTATGTGCTTTCATTCTTTTCTGTGTTTAAGACTTTTGTATGAAGTTTTATTAGTGTACCACTATACCATTTACCCGCAAATATGTAGTTTACCCCATATTTTATACAACACATTAGAAAAGGCTCATTCTCGTTGCCATTTTATTTTCACAAATGCCTCTGTTGAAACAGTTGATATTCGGAATAAGGATAGATGATTTCGAGCAAATTATTTACAGAAACTATTTTGTTCTAGCTAGGGTTGACAAACATGTTCTGGCTGGTGTATTTTTATTACAATCAGAAGGCAGCTGTTTCCTTGGCGGTAAGCCAAGATCCAAAGCGGTTTTATTAAAATATGCTTAGAATATTGAATTAATGGTTGAGGCTTTTGTGGATGACATTTATTTAATATGTGGGGTCATTATTCTTGTATTGAAATAATAGTTATGCTAAACGGAATGGTAGTGTTTCGTGGAATTTCTCAATTTTTCGTTGCCCTACGTAGCAAATTTTACCTCAACTTTCATTCCTTCTCAAATTCTTTGCATCATTACGATGATACTACACCTGAATGCATTGCAATGTTTGTTAATTACCAACAACTTTGTCATAATTTGTGATAATCTATTGCCTAATAAGTAACTGGAGAGTAATATTTCCTAAAATTATATTTAAAGATCAACAATTTACTCATTATATTAAAATCAGATTGGACAAGTCCAGTATTAATAAAAATTCAATAAATTATACGGCCCATTAGCTTAATTTCGTCGCAAAACTTCTGTCAATCACGAAGAACATTTAATCATTATCAGATTTACGGATTATTTTAAAGGTATAAGCAAACACTGTTGATTGTTATATTAAAATAAATGGTTTTAAAATTTTGTTCGTTTCTATGAAAATTAAGTAGTGTTATTATTTTTTTACATTAAAGTAAAATTGAGTATACTTTTAATAGAAATTGTAGAATAATCGTGCATGACCGTGTTGAAGGAAATCAACTGAATGCAATTTCAAATCCCGCTCGTGTTGGTAAATGACTTAATTTTTTATTTTATTGGAATATTAGAGGCGTATACAAAATTTTGAAAATGTATTTCGTAGTCCTTTAATATTTATTAACTTCATCTGATATCAAACTGCAATAATTTTATAAGTACATTAGATTTGAATTGTAACGTTAAAGTGAGTTTCCTGCTTATTTTCATATTGTAAAGCTCATTGGATTCTCTGTTAATACTTTAACAAAATTAAAACAGTGTACATAATTTGTTTAAAATTGATATTTCATGTGCTATCGGAACAGTTAAATGTATTTTTTTTATTTAAACTTTTTCTTTTTAGTTTTGTTCCTCAACAAGCATTCCTATTTAATAAATTTAAAATATAAATAAAATATCAGTGAATACATCCCGGCGTCATTGTTTTCGTAATTACTTTCATCTTTTTCGGCGCTAGGATAAAAATATATTATAATTTATGTATATTATGTAAAAATATTGATAACAAACAATATTCGTACTGCGTGCAAAAAATAATAATTTCCATAAATTTTGTTCTACACTTGAGGCTTACTCAAATACTATCTGAATATTTTGGAAAATAAATGTATATTTCTAATAAATACTCCAAAGAGGAAATCATTAAAAAAAATAAACAACTTATCAAGATAATTGAGATCTTCCCCATCAATCATCTGCAGTGCCGTGGATTCCGGGGATAATTCGTATTTCGCTTCACAAGTCATTTATTTTGAATTTGCCTCGTACACCGTTAAATTACGTTAGGTTGGCGATCACTGATTTTGTGACTTATGGGATATTCTACGGAATCGAATACACGGAACGTGCGAAATATAATGAATATATCATTCGGAAATTTGGAAATACGTAATATATTTCATCCAATATTTATACAATTATATGTTATTGAAAATTCCATATATACAGGAACTAATTGTATTTTAATATATTTTTTTAAATAATATTACTACTGAACATTCGAGTATGTGTTCAATTTAAATTTTATGACTCGATAAATAAATTATTCTACTTTCATTATTAACAAAAATACTGGACAATAAAAAAAATCTGAAACAAATAAAGTATCTTTTCCCCGTAACATTAACGCTGTATAAGGATCAATGAAAACAAATAAAAATTTACCTGAAATCGGCTTAGAACTTCGATTTGTCAAAGATACATATTATTTATTGAGCAGAAAATATATTTGTTTAGATCATAAAACTTACCAAGTACGAAACACAATAAAACTGCCAGCGATGTCATTGACCTGCCGGCCGGTAAAGCCGTTACCCCGCATCAGTAAAGTTGACATCAACACATCACTACCACTTTTCAAACACACCGTAACACCACTCCCATTTATAACACGAGCTATATATATCTTCACATGTATTGTAATGGTAACAATGTCTTTGTATGTATTGTAATGGTAACAAATTTCACATCAACTCTGGCGTCCTTTGATTCTGAAAAAGAAGAAACATTGTCGTTGTTATAAAATTAAATAACTCGCAAGTACTCGTATATAGAAAATAAAAGCTATATTATTTCAGTTATTTAAATAAATATTCATTTAAATTAAACTAATATAAAAACGCGTAGTATATCCGAAAAATTTTAGTTTCATTTAAACGAATGAAACTCGTGAAATTCTTTGATCTTATGAAATAAATATTTTTAATAATTCCAACTACTAAATATTTCATGGTACATATATACACATATGTGAGCGGCCTTATAATTTATTTATAATATTTAATTTCATCTCTTTTTCGTATAGAAAAATCCTATTAAGTCTAGTTCTTAATATGGTTAAGGATTTTCGTGAAATATTTAGAAATACATAATTTTCCATACATTTTGTAGTAAACGTTCAAAACCTTTATATATATTTATTTTCCTCAAAAAATTCTGATCATCTATCAATATTTAGTGAATATATTTCTATTTTGACAGATCTATTTCAATAAATAACTTTTTTCGGTCTATTACTTTTTCATTGAGGTGTTTCAGTGAACAGAATATTAAACAAAAGAAATAAATATAGTAAAAATAGTTTAAAAAAACTAAAGTAAGATTAATTATTAATCATGTTATTATTTGTATTTACTTTATAAATAAAAATTTGAAACACATTAGGTACTAGTAAAGACGTATCAAAACGGTCTTAATGTCGATCCATCTTGGTTCTTGGTTCCACAGCCATAATCTCCATTATTTATGGTTTTTCTACCAAGATTTAATACTTTTAAGAGCTTTTCAATTTGAAAAGAAATACGTCGTACACAATTTAAGAAATCCGCCAGGGTAATTACTATAATTCAGTTGCAAAAATATATCTTTTTATATACTTTTTTTTTGCTTGGGCAAATAAAATAACTTATTTTGATTGAATCCTTGTTTTGAATACAGTTCAGTCATTCATAAATATTTACTCACAATACAAGCATGTTTAATAGATAGACAATTGAACTTTTTTGGAATGGTTTTGAGTGAAATTTTTGTTATCTACATTGTTTATCAGGATGTTAGGCATTAACTAGAAGCAGGATAACTGATTGGTTTACAAGTCAGCATAGTAAAGATAAATACAATTAAGATTCAAGTCGTTTTTTTTTTGTAACTCTTTTTAAATTGTTATCAGTGCAAGTATTTTTTTGCAATGAATAATAAACAAGCAACTTAATAAACTTGAGCGTCTCCAAAATCTTTGCATCCGATTCATATTTGGTCTTCGTAAATATGATCAGGTTTCTGAGTTTCGTAAAAAGCTCAAGTGGCTCCCAATCCGGCTTCGCAGGAATACTCACATCCTTCAACTTCTGTACTGTATTCTGTTCAATCCGTCTTCTCCTTCATATCTAAAAGAACGTTTTCAATTTCTTAGTTCTTCACATAGTCATAATCTTCGTTCTGAAGAGAATTTGATGTTAAAAATACCACCTCATACAACTTCTTTTTACACTCACTCCTTTACAGTCCATTCTATTCGTCTTTGGAACTCT